TGGCACAAGCTTCCGGCTTTTATGGTCTCCCTCCCTCCCAGCCAGGTGGCTGATGTTATGGAAGGGGGTGGGATGGCCTGAAGCAGCAGGAGCAGTAGGAACAGGGTCCCAGTCCTGAAAAAGGTCGGGGAGCGCAAGCCAGAAATTCTCCCAGACACGTCTCTCACCCGTGCCTGGGACGGCAGATATTGCAGGCAGCTCCCCCGACGTCAGGAACGCTGGTCTGTGAGGGCCCTGGCACAAGCTTCCGGCTTTTATGGTCTCCCTCCCTCCCAGCCAGGTGGCTGATGTTATGGAAGGGGGTGGGATGGCCTGAAGCAGCAGGAGCAGTAGGAACAGGGTCCCAGTCCTGAAAAAGGTCGGGGAGCGCAAGCCAGAAATTCTCCCAGACACGTCTCTCACCCGTGCCTGGGACGGCAGATATTGCAGGCAGCTCCCCCGACGTCAGGAACGCTGGTCTGTGAGGGCCCTGGCACAAGCTTCCGGCTTTTATGGTCTCCCTCCCTCCCAGCCAGGTGGCTGATGTTATGGAAGGGGGTGGGATGGCCTGAAGCAGCAGGAGCAGTAGGAACAGGGTCCCAGTCCTGAAAAAGGTCGGGGAGCGCAAGCCAGAAATTCTCCCAGACACGTCTCTCACCCGTGCCTGGGGACGGCAGATATTGCAGGCAGCTCCCCCGACGTCAGGAACGCTGGTCTGTGAGGGCCCTGGCACAAGCTTCCGGCTTTTATGGTCTCCCTCCCTCCCAGCCAGGTGGCTGATGTTATGGAAGGGGGTGGGATGGCCTGAAGCAGCAGGAGCAGTAGGAACAGGGTCCCAGTCCTGAAAAAGGTCGGGGAGCGCAAGCCAGAAATTCTCCCAGACACGTCTCTCACCCGTGCCTGGGGACGGCAGATATTGCAGGCAGCTCCCCCGACGTCAGGAACGCTGGTCTGTGAGGGCCCTGGCACAAGCTTCCGGCTTTTATGGTCTCCCTCCCTCCCAGCCAGGTGGCTGATGTTATGGAAGGGGGTGGGATGGCCTGAAGCAGCAGGAGCAATAGCAACAGGGTCCCAGTCCTGAAAAAGGCCGGGGAGCGCAAGCCAGAAATTCTCCCAGACACGTCTCTCACCCGTGCCTGGGGACGGCAGATATTGCAGGCAGCTCCCCCGACGTCAGGAACGCTGGTCTGTGAAGGGACATAAATATTTCCTTCTCTCATTTTCATGTCAGGGCAAGGAATTAGAACATTCTTCTCCTCATTACAGACTATGGTGAAGAATCTTTTGACGCTCTAGTTATAGGATTTGCACTGGCAAGAATAATGCTTTGTGTAAAAGATACCCTTTTTTGTGTGAAACCGCACATTTTATGCAAAGTTGTGTAACTGTATGAAATTTGTTTCTTGCTTTACTTAAGAATTTGAAGCATTAGATGGATTGTTTGTGTCTTTCTTAGCAATCTTAAAAGCCACAAAATACAACCACAGAGGTTGCTTCCCATCTGCATAGCCTAGACAGGAAGGAGGAAATGGCAAGATGTGTGATGCAGTCTTTGCTATCAGAAGGCTGGAATTGGTAATGAGAGAAAAAATTGTTTTGTTTTTTCTCACCATAGCTTATCCAGCTCATACCTCCCAACACCAAATACAGATCTGCTTGCAGGTTGCAATTGGAAATCCATGCTAATCAGCTTAGAATTCTATTCACAGACCCAAAAATGTGTGTTTGATAAATGTGTATATATGAAAAATGTACAAACTCCATTTAGTCACTGGAAGAAAAATAAATAACTTCAAAAATACACATAAAATGCATATATGTTTAGAAAATAATGCATAGAAATCCATATTTTGATATTGTGGGTTGGGGAAAGCTTGTATTGTCATGTGCACCCACTTCAGAATCAGCTTCAAAGTGGAAACATAAGACTTATCAATGAAGTCAAATGTTGCTCATTTGTTACTCACTTCTAGATTCCCACCAGTAGTATTTTCATGTCTTTTCCTCCTCTCACCACTATACTTTGTCCAAAAGTATTTACTTTGTGTTGGAAGGCTATAAAAACAGTCAACCTATAACCAATCATTTGTCCAAGTAACTGAGTTTACCTGACTATGGAGCCACAGATCAGGGGTTTGATTTCTCCAACTGTGCTTCTATAGGCTCTATAGTCTGCAAGGTGAACAGTCCGCAAGTGCTCCTGGCAGAACGGAATGGTAAACCACTTCTGAATACTCTATATTTAGAAAATCCTCGAACGGGTCACCTTATGTCAGAATTGACTTGATAGCACACAATAGTTATGATAACCAGCCAGGAGCAGACCAAGCAGCACATAGCCCTGAACATTTGGATTTCCAATGTGAAATTTATATCTAAGTCAAATCACAGTCTCGAAATAAGCCTAAGTAAAACTGGTCTATCTTCTGAAAAATTGAACTGGGGTCTGCATTTAATATTGTGATTAGGGCACATCTCTAGTGTATACTTACAGGTTTGTGTATATTTAAGGATGAAGACATTCAATAGCACCCCTTAGAAAAGAAGACTAAAGAAACCTCCACACCACAATACACAAGGACTGTGAATGGTAAAATTATTTTCCTCACTTCCAGTTTGAAAACTTTAATGCTCAGGATTTACCTAGTGAAACTTACTGGCAACCTGGGTCTGTTTGTCTCCCTCTCATTTTTCATATACTGTAGTAGTTGTCATAACCCAAAATACAAGAGCATACGATAATGGAGAACAAGCCCCTGAATACCTTCGGTATCTAAAAATGAAAAGACCATGTTGAGAGTTTGTGGACTTCACTATTTATCTTTAAATAGTAAAAACAGGGAAAAGATAGTAAAAACAGGGGAAAAAACATTGGAGCAAAAACTTATGTTGTGCAGATTTATGCTTATGCAAGCTGATGATGGAATTAGCTGTGGATTTTTATTGCTCTTTGAAACTTTCTTCAGAATTTGAGGGTGGTGGAATAATAAACATTTTATGAGCTTTAAAAGCCCTTGGTTGATGATGCCATCAGATTGCATGGGTTTAAACTTATGCAATAGGATGCTGACCACAGTTGTGACAACAACAAATTATTCCTCAAACAAGAATGGATAATGGGGATAAATTATATCTATAAAGTAACATTCCAAGCTCTGAACTTTGTCTCTGAAATCTAACCCAGGGATCATGGATGGGAGGGAAAAGATTAAATCTCTTGTATATGTGCACTGTGAATCAAATAAGACATCTATTTATTCTGATTTTTACCCTGCCCATCTAGGTAAAGGTTCCCCTTAACAAATAGTCCAGTAGTGTCCGACTCCAGGGTGCGGTGCTTATCCCCATTTCCAAGCCGTAGAGCTAGCATTTTGTTCATAGATATTTTCCGTGGTCACGTGGCGAGTGCGACCAGACACAGAACACCATTACCTTCTGAGGTGATACCTATTTATCTGCTTGCATTTTACATGCTTTCAAACTGCTAGGTTGGCATGTGGATTTGAACAGCTGATCTTTTGACCTTGCAGCCAAGGCTTTGTGGTTTAACTTGCACTGCCACCCCCGTCCCCTGCCCATTTAGTGGCCTGTTATGTAGTACACTGTGTGTCAAGTTACTTGAAAACAGAGGGTTCCATATAGGTCTGAGAAATATCTTTTGTAGATCCTTGAATTTTGTAGATCCATATAATTTATCCCCATTATGATGTTCTCAGTGAAGTATATATTTAAACACTGATAACCAGTCAAAAAAATTAATTTAAAATAAATACTTATCATGGTTCAAGAGCTCCTCTTTGAATCAACGAACTGAGAGCATTATGGAAACATTCCTCTGGACAAGGTTCTGAACATATCCTAGATTCGAATCTCTACTTAGCAACAAAGCTCTTTGATGGCCAGCTATTATTCCTTAGCCCACACTTTCTCACTGTGTTGGTATAAGGACAGAAGGGGACAATCCCTAAGTACAGCACTTGGAAATCTCGGGATGAAGTGCTGGATACAGATGTGAGGAACCAATAATTTTCTTGCTGGTCGTCATCCACAAATTTCTTGGTTTCCAACAACCTTTCTTATGCATCTGTATACCTGTCCTGTGGAGTTAGTGGAGCTTGTACAGGAGAATTCTTAAGAAAGAGTTTTCCATGGATGTACAGTGCAACAAAATCCATGCCCTTGGTTTTGGCTGTCTAGTCTGAAATCTGCCTTTAAAAATATAGCAAACAAAATAATTATGCACATATTTCTCATATTCCATTGACTTATGGAGTAAATTTTATTTGTTCATATGAATTCTTAATTAAAATAATTGATTTTACATTAGCATGTGATGTTTTAAAAGTTTTAGGAATTTTAAAAATCCTAGTAAACAGTTTATTATTCAATGTCCAGTAAGCAGGCTGAGTTCTTGAGGGCCTATTTATAGGATAGGGTATGTTCTGGATACCATGATTCTGTCTTTCTGGGACAAAATATTCTTCCATAGCTATTTATAAGAATAATTATATGCCATCAAGTCAATTCTGACTTATAGCAACCCCTTTAAGGTTTTTTTTAGATACAGATTACTCGGAAGTGTTTCACAATTCCCTTCTGTCAGGGACACTTTGGGGCTATGCAGGTTGCCCAAAGCTACACAGGCCAGCCTTTTTTTTTTTTTTTTGGTGGCACAGTGGGGAATCAAATTCCCAACCTCTGGGACTGTGACCAGATTCCTAGTTCACTGAGCCGGCCAGCCAGCTGGCTGCTTGGCTATCAATTACTGGCAATAAGAGAATATCAGCAATCTAGTCATATCTCAAGGTCTGACATGCCAAACTAATGACAAAAAAAAGCTATGGAGAAGAAACAAAGCCTACTTCAGTAGGAAGAGCTGTTACAGTAAATAAAAGTATTTTACATATGTAGTATATAGTCAGGAATAGAGATGGGCACAAATTAAAAAAACAAACAGCAAAATTAATCAAAAAGGGCTAATTCATTGATTCGTATTCATCCGAATCAATGGCCCCCAACAAATATGAACACATTAATTTTTAACAATTTTTGATTTGTTGATTCATTAGGCTATAAAACAGCTCCCCAGGCACCTAGGGACACCAAAATAGCAGAGAGGTTTTCCCTGGCTCTCCTCTAAGTTTGGTGAAGACTGGATTTCCTCCAAGTCAGCTGCTAAAGGGGAGTTTCCTGGGGGGGGGGGTTAACTTTGTGGCCATATAACTCAGGTGTCCAAACCTCAATTTTCACCAGATTTGGAGGGTTTGTAGAGGAGTCAGGGGAAGCTTCTATTTGATTCTGGTGTCTCCCAGTGCTTGGGGAGAACTTTCCAGGGGGGTGCTTTTTGTGGATGTATACCTTGGATGTCCAAAACTCAAACTTCACCAAATATACAGGGCCTGTAGACAACTCAGGGAAAGTTTCTCTGCAATTTTGGTGTCTCTCGGTGGACATTTCATTGGGCTTTAAATGCAAAACAAATCAATAAATCAATTTGCAAAATCATCAGAAAAAATCGTTAATTTGTTATTCATTATTCGTTGACCTTGTTGAATCACAAACTGAAATGAATTGCCATTTTCTCAATTCATGCCCATCTCTAGGCAGGAATATTTTGCAGACATGTACCATGGAAACTTTATGCACCTCTCATACCCCAATTTTGAAGTTCTTGTTTACAAAATGGCACCATTTGAGATCTGCTCTGCTTTCATCCCCTCCCCCCATTGGTTCAGACCTCTCCACATTCCAGGTTTCTCCAAACATATGTAGGCACAGTAGTGAATATTTGCATTGATTAAGTCATAATGTTTCATAAACACACTCTCTATTTGTACACACTGATGACAAGTAATGGGAGAAGGGGAGTGACAACAAAATTGGTCACATCCCAGTCCAAAATTATGACACAGTCCAGGTTAAGCTACAAAACCAGTAGGGCATAATGGGAGATGTATTTGATCCATGAAACTTTTCACAAAATGTAATGTAGTGTGGAACATCTCCTCATTTCTAGCATGAACTCCAAAGATAGACGGCAGTCTTCAGAGCAGCTGAGTTGAAATCATTTGTGTCAAAATGTGGTGTAATTTTCCCCCCTGTAAATTTAAGTACTCTCTAAAATGTCATCTATACTTCAGCGCAAGTACTGGACCCTGGCAAGATGTGAGTGAAACTTTCCAAAGGTTCTATGCTCCAGAAGCTTTAGGAACAAGAGAGCTCTCTGACCAACCTCAGGGATGCTTCTCTCCAGGAAAAAGATAAAAGCTTAGCTCATGGTGGGGAATATTTGGCTCTCAAAATGTTTTGACTTACAATTCCCATCAATCCCAACAACCATGATCAATTTTAAGGGGTTATGGGAATTGTACTCCAAACTTGTTGGTGGGCCCATAGTTCTCCACTCCTGCCTTATCTAAAGGCTCTTTAAATATCTACAAAGGAGCATTGTAACTCCCAAAATCTTGCAGTCTTATGGATTAGTTCTCAGATTGCATAGATAATGCTACAATAATGAGCCCTTTGAGACTCTTATACAGTGGTTTCGTTGTGTCCTAAACTTGGTTTAGAAGCAGGGGGAGACATTCAATTTTCTTAACTGTTTGAGGAAGGTCCTCCATTCATCACAAAACAAATGGATACAGCTTTTGGCAATTTGGCTTAACTCCAGTTGTCATCTGAACACAATGAAGAGAATCAGGATGGGATTTTCCTACTGAACCGAATAGATATCTTTATAAAAGAAATGGCACTAATTCTTACTCTACATTTTAGATGTACAGCTTTGATATCCTTAATGACAATCCTTCTTTCCAACAAGTCTCCGGTGAAAACAACTCAAGCAGGCCATGTACAGAGAAACAGAACACTTAGCCACTAACTTCAATACTGTTATGTCATCTGATGAGAGGTGGAGTGCTGTGGCTTCCCATCATGTATAAATCATAATTTTGTTTTTAGGTTTTGCCTTCTGTGCAGCATTATGAAGCAACTTGAAATCTTCTCCTAGAGATAGATGTATTATTTCTCTGGAATGATTTGATGTGGAATTGTGAACCTATAAACAAAAACAATATCAGGAATGCAAAATACAAAACAATACAAAACAAAATGACCTAAATTCAAATCATTTGAATGTATGACTTTTCTTCTGGCCTCAGCTTCCTTCTAAAATGGGAACAGCAGTGTCTTACATCACAGAAAGAAGAACACTTAAGAACCTTTAGATAAACAATGCTACGTACACTGCATGCTATATAAAGTAGTTTCACCTCATGGATCCAACTAGGATATTAAATTTAATCCTCCACCCATCCAGATGCAATGTACTCTCAACTCCAAAGCATTCCTACTGCTTCCACTCCCTTTTTAATTCTTGTCAGAAGGCCTTTTTCAGAGCTGGTCCCTTCTTAACCCACTGATTTTCTCATTTCCGCATAACCTTACTGGCCACTCCTCCAGTAGCATTTTCTCTACTGTGCAGGTGTAACTCTTCACTTATTTGGTTGCTGCAAGTGAAAATGAAAAGCTTCAGAAGCCTCTCCCTTCTGGGCAAGGTAATGAGGAGCTTTTATGCCAGTTTTACATTTCACTACTACTCCCCTCCTCCAAATTTGCAGCTGTATTTTAGTAACAAACGAAGCAAAATACTGTATTTTTAATACCAAATAGAACACCTGTAATTTATTTGCTAATGTCATTCCTCTCTCTCTCTCTCTCTCTCTCTCTCACACACACACACACACACACACACACACACACACACACACACCTCTAACCTTCTTTGAAGCAGTGAAAAATGTTGCAGTGGCTGCCCATTTTTTCAATGGAATATCTCAATGTGTCAATATAGGAGCAAATTGCAAGTATTCATTACATTCTTACTCTAGGTCTTTGGTGATCTTTTCCTTGTAATTCTGTTCTAGTGAGCCTGCTGCCTAGTGAGCCTGCCAATGTACACCCACCCCCACGAACTTCCTTGAAATTATCCTCTGGATCTACTCTATTGCTTTCTAGAATCTTACCCTTGGACTCACTTTCCAGTTTTCAGCATCTTTGCCTATCCACACAAATCCCTCTCAGACTATGTGTGAGAGATTCCCCCCCAAACCTACAAAATATATACACAGACAACACTCAGTAAAATTATTACTACTAGTATTTTGCTATTGAAAACAATTTTTGGAACCATATCTACACCTCTGACAGAATAGGTCATTTCATTTCTCCTTAATTATTTTTGCCAACTCATCCAAGTGAAAGAAATTATATAGTCTATGCTAGATAACTGGAGAGGATGAACTGAAAGTGGCCTGGTTGTCTGTGACTGTCCTTGAGAATGTGATTCATGGTTCAGAAGTGGTTTATTTAGACATTTATTTCACAATGCCTCATCAGACAAACAAAATTACAGAAGAAATTTTCCAGGTTATTCACTTCTCTGATGGATAAACAGTTTTCATTGTATGCAGTTCACCATCAGTAGAACAACAGTGGGGAATACATATGCTTGGACTATGAAGTATTATAAGTGGCTATGAACAGTCATGCTTCACTGACACATGACTGAGTTTATGAGATCTTAAAATAGCAATAAGCAGTCTGAGAGAAGAAACAGCGGGGAAGGGAGGAATGGTTCATCCTTGCTTTCCAATGTGGCCCTCTGTTGGTTCTTCAGTAATACTGCAGGACTATGTCTACAGCTCCACAAGCACTAAAGATAATTCATTTAACTGTCTGCTGTCAAGTATAGTGACCCCTCCTTGGGTGTTCTAGGTATAAAATTCTCAGACGTAGTTTACAGTATCTTCTTCTGGGGATGCTCTGCAAACTATATAGCTTGCCCAAGGCCACCCACATTGGTTCTTCTCCCATGAGGTACAGTGGAAAATCAAACTCCCCAAACTTTGGCTCCTCTGGTAAGTGCCCAACTCTTTGAGCTGTCAAGCTAGCTACTACTATTATTAGATCTGCCCAAATTATACATGGATACAAAAATCAGCTGAGTACAATCCTCAGAATGATAACTTAGAACACCTCTTGAGAAAGGAGGTTTGCTCTCCAGCAAATGGGTTTAGGAATTCAGCCTAAGTGGATCATGAGTTTCCATAAGTGGTTAATTCAATGACAATCATTTATACAATCTACCTTAAATCCATGTTCCAGTGGAAAATACACTCAGATTATTTTAGAACTGAAGGAATGATGGTAAGCATGAAGCCTGTGAAGGATACATCATACCTGCTGCTCCTTCTCTTTCATACAGAGACAATTTAGTATGCAATGCTTTGCACAAGTTTTTATTTGAGCTTAGCATAGATGTGGAATTAAAAAACAACGTTTCCTCATTTTACTCCAACTTCCCCCAAATGTCATCATGTGGAAACTAAGAATCTCCACTTTGAGAAAGTGGTATTTTGTTGTTTCTTCTTCTTTTCTTAATAAAATGGGCACCTTACCTGTCAATATCCCTGGGCCCATCCACAGGTTGTTAGCAAAATCCACAGAAGTCAATGATCGTTTCTGCGGCGTGTCTGACTGAAAGAGATATATAGATTTCTATGTGCTACAGGCTCTCATCCCACCCTCAATACCTCAAGGGTAAACTGTGATTCTAAAGCTAAACCCTGGTATAGCAAGGAGAGGCAGCCATGGAGAGTCTGGGATCTCATCTGCACCACTTAAAACAACCCCAAACTATTGAGTGCTGGATCCACCCCTTCTGTCAAATCCTGTGACTGGAGGAAGTGTAGTTTTGCTGCCCATTAAGCTACATATAAGTTAGCCTTGGAAGAACTACTCTTCCCACAACATCCTAAGCCTCCTAGGAAGCACTGGGGCTGGATGTAAGCCCCAGACAGCCTACTGTCCTACTCAGCTAGCCAGCATGACAGCAGTAGAGGCCCAGAACAAGTAAGGTAGGTGCTGGAGACCATGAAGGGGGACATTGAGTAGGAAACCCATGAAAGGGGGGGCAGCTTTCTATGAAGCTGAGCTACACAGAAAGCCCCCTTCATTTAGAGATGGGCCAGAACCAAAGAAACCAGTTCATTTTTAAAATAATTCAGCATGGTTGGTGGTTCATGGTTCACAGACACTGATGAATCATGAATATCATTGTGTCCCTTTGTGCCTATCTCTGTTCATGATCTTACAATGTTTCAATAAATTCACAAAAAACATTCATTCATTCCCAGCTTTCATATTCATATCAGAGGTTTTCAAACTCTCAAATACCTACCCGAAATGTGTGAGTAGTATTTGGTCTTGAAAACTGGTCTGTTGTGACTGTTCTCTCTTTGAGTGGCCACCGTTCCATACCATGAGGTACTGCGCTGGATATCCTATTGTGCGGATGCCTTCCTCTGTGCTGGATGGGAAGAGAGGGGAGAAAAACAAACCCATCCCAGCGAAAATAAATGTATTCTGAGTCATTCAAAAAAAAAAAACTTTTGCTTTAACTGGACCTTCTCATTTCCTTCCCTTTAACAAATAATTTTCATCTAGCCTCTGATCATGTATGTAACAGCTTCTAAACTTGCTCACCTGACTTTTTTCAACTGGCTTTGAAATTCATTAAAATGAAGATGTCTTTTGCTTTAACTGGACCTTCTCATTTCCTTCCCTTTAACAAATAATTTTCATCTAGCCTCTGATCATGTATGTAACAGCTTCTAAACTTGCTCACCTGACTTTTTTCAACTGGCTTTGAAATTCATTAAAATGAAGATGTTGTGTAATGTAAGATGAAAACAGGTAAGTAAAATTGTGTGATGCCCTACTCAAAACCAGAGGTAACAGTTTGCATTAAATCAGGACTCAAAAGTATATAAAATTTCAAACATATTTAGTGGGAAATCCAGGATCCTTGATGGATTTCTTAAAAGATGAAATCATTCTTTATACAAGGTAACAGTGCCTCACTGACATATAAATGCTATTTTATATCACAGAACTTGTTTCTCTCTTATTCTGACCCACCTAACCTGAAAGAATTCTACCTCGATAGTCACAGAGATAGTGAAGGTAACAGAGTGGGATGGGGTACCCTATTTCATGATAATTAACTAATGCAGAATGTTCAATACATTATAGGCCAGAATCCTATTTTCAACTACAACCTGTAACATGAGACCCACTGATTTTTATTCTACAGTATTTGTTTTAGGAAGACGAGAAGCAAAACAAGAACTTGGTTCTTGCAAAAGATGGTTTCAGGAAGATGTAGGTTTTCATAGCTATGCAGGTTTTGTTGCAGTTGCCACAATCCCACTTTGAAAGTAGCCATAGAAGCTAAAGGAATTTTCTTTTCCTTCTCCTGAGTTTGGAAAAGTTACTCCCAAGGTCTTTCAGATGGCATGGCCACTGGGAATTATAATACAATAAAGAACCTTTTCCAAATGTTGTTTCCATCTACTTTTCACCCCCAACATAAGCAGATACATACAAGTGTGCGTGCACGCACACACACACCATCTTTCTGTCCAACATATACTGTATGGCTGGCTCATGGACTGAGCAAGGGGCACCTCACCTCAAAATCTGGGGGAGTCATACCCTCCACTTGGTCATGAATGGCCTAAAAAACTGTGGTGATGCCACAAGTGTGGCCCACCTTAGATGATGCCAGTTTCAACTGTGGCTCCCAACAATATCACTTAAAAGTCCAACATACCTGTTTTGAAAAATTCTCAAAAAAAATGAACATTGTAAACTACTAAAGCCTAATCCACTCCTATCAGCAGACTCACATTCTGATTCAAGAAACAAGGCAGAAGGAAAAGGAGAAGTGGAAGGTAAACATTACTAGTTACCAGTTTGGAACAAAAGGTATACTAGGCAATTTCTGCTAGACCATCTACAATCTACCATTAGATCGTCTTGATGTAGTCAATAAGTACATTTTCAAGGTCACAATAATATTTAGTCATGCTTTTAACAATTAAGAGATCAGGGTAGTCCTCTTGCTTTGCAGATTGGAATTTACTAAAAGACCTAACAGATAAGCTGAGCACCTGAGACTGAATGACGTCACCTCTGAACAATCCTCACGATCAGCCATCAGCTCTTGGGAGGTGTCAGTGAGGAAATATCCAACTCCCAAGTTTCTAACCTTTCCATTAACCTTAAGAACTCATTATAGGATATCTACAACTCTTCATTTTCTTGTAATTGTTCTATCACTACCACCACAAGACTGAAAAGTGAATAATTCTATCTTTTATTTTGTCCTGATTTTCAGTTCACAAGCCTGATGCAGATATTTGCCTAATTTCTGTTAGACGTCCTATGATAACATGTGACTGTCCGTCACCTATATTCATGAGCTGGTATAGCTCAGTGGGATGTGGTGGCTGCCTGTAGAGCCAGGGTGTGTAGGTATCCTTCAGTCTCGAGAGACTATGGTAATGTGCTCTGAATAGAGGTCTTGGAACAACGTCTAGTGTGGCTGAGAAGGCCAATTCAAGAGTGACAATCCCACACTGAAAACAAATACAATCTGTCTCCTGTCCAGCTCCCTGATTTTGCTGGTTTCAGGACTGCCTCTTTGCTGAACAAGTATCTCTTCAAATTGGGAGAGGCCATGCTGCACCGCCTGCCTCCAGGCTGAACGCTCAGATGTCAAGAGTTTCTCATCTGTAGAGGTCCATTCCTAAGGCCTTCAAATCCTGCTTGCAGATATCCTTGTATCTCAGCTGTGGTCTCCCTCTGGGGTGCTTTCCCTGCACTAATTCTCCATACAGGAGATCCAGGGATCAGGTGCTCTAATGCCCACTGTGCCTTCCACAAGGGCCAACCAAGGTCACACACAACATGTGGAACTAATGGGGTTACGTGCTCTGCCACCTGTGCAGCCTTGAACAAAGCCATATGATCCCAGTATGCTACCAGATCATGGAGATGGTAAACCATTTCTGAGTATTCTATACATAGCAAGGGTCATTGTAAGTTGGAATTTATTTGATGACACATTTTTATTATCTATTTTATCTGCATTAGCTAGACTATACTATCTAAAGCGCTGGCCACATGATTCTAATGCAAGAGAACATAGGCTAATTACATGGTTTTACCAATCAAGAAAATAAAAACAAGTAAGGGTGAAATCTGCCTTAAAAAAAACAGATACAGATAGTGGATGTATGTGTGAACTACTGAAAACAACAGGAAACCCAATAGAATGGAGTTAACTGCAAAGTGAAAAGAGGAAGTGTCATGCAGCTGTAACTAGCCTAAAGTTCCTTGAAAAACAGGTGGTGAAGAGACACTTTAAATGTCATTGTTCACTACACATTTCAAAATATCTTTGCATGCCTAACTATTTCATATATTAAAATATATGTCTACGTGTTAGTCTCACAACAACTCTATTGGGTATTTTAGATAGAGAAATACTGACTTTAAAAAAACATTCAGCAAGCTGAAAGCAGGAGTGAACCTAAGTATTATGCCAGCCATTCTCATTAACCTATGTTTAAAAACATCACAGTGATAATTCTTTGTCAATATCAACCAAAGCTGTTGTTGTGTATTTTAAAAGATAAAATTATCTTACAATACCTACCCGGGATGCGGGAACTGAAAGATATTGATCAACACTGTCGGAACCTATTGGTGGCAACTTGTTCCGGGGCATGGTTGGAAGTGGAGAGGATGAGCGATCCTGGGCAGTGCACCTGTGAATAGTAATATGGATACACAAGATCACACATAGAGAAAAATATTTGGTGGTGTTTTGTTTTTTTGTTTTTTGCATGACCAGATAGCCAATTAAAATCTGACATTCTCCTAAGAATGGATCACAACTTCCTACTTTTTATGTTTCATTCTTTGTCACATAAAATCTAATCTATAAATGCACAAATCTGACCTTTATTTATTATAAAGATGTATACCTTACATGAATACACCTATAGTAGGACACAGAACACAGGGTATGCATGCTATGAATGTAAAAGCAAAAAAATGCAAACTTACAGCCACACCAAGAGATATATCTAATGTTAAGAAAGGTTGAGATCTGAGACATCAATTATTCTTCTCATATATGCTTCTAGTTTCAGAGATTTTACTAGGTATTATCCAAACACAGCCAATTCAAATACAGTGGTGCCTCGCACAACGGGTGCCTCACACAACGATGAATTCACACAACGATGCCTTTTTCTGTTAAATTTGCCGCCTCACACAGCGATGTTTCCTATGGGGGATTTTCACACAACGATGTCTCTTTTTCGTTCCTGTAAAAGTGTCTTACAATGTTTGGAAGCCGTTTTAAATGGTTGCAATGGTTAGCCCACCTCCTGAAACCTATGCAAACTGATTTTGGTGTTGTTCTGACACTTCGTTAATTTATGGTAATTTTTTGTTTTTCCCCCTCATTGAACTCCATGCATTTCAATGAGGGGGGAAAACAAAAAAATACCATAAATTAACGAAGTGTCAGAACAACACCAAAATCAGTTTGCATAGGTTTCAGGAGGTGGGCTAACCATTGCAACCATTTAAAAGGGCGTCCAAACATTGTAAGACACTTTTACTGGAGCGAAAAAGGACTTCGCAAAGCCATCGAAATGTATTGAGTTGGCTTCAATACATTCCAATGGAGGAAACATTGTTTCACACAGCGATGTTTCCTATGGGGATTTTCACTCAGCGATGGCAATCCGTTCCAATTGGAACGGATTAACCGATTTTCAATGCATTCCTATGGGAAATGGTGTTTCACAGAACGATGTTTCACACAACGTTGATTTTTTTGGAACCAATTAACATCGTTGTGTGAGGCACCACTGTAACATAGCAAGTCTCAAAGCAATATAAAACAAGGCTTAATAAAGCACAAATTGCATGAGACGTGATAAACAGAATTTTAAAGCAATGCCAGCTAAATCCTATCACTTGGATTCAATATGTTGGTAAGGTTGGTAAAGTGAAGAAAAGAAACAGCATCTCACAGTTTTCTCCCCCTAAGGACTTCATCACTGTAAACATTTGGGGTCTTTGAGCGTAGTTGGTCTGTAGCTATGGAAGGTAGCCTGCGATGGCCCACTGTTTTCCTAGACCCAGGCAATACTCGAGATGAAGAGAAAACACTGCTGTCAGTGATTCGCCCCAGGCGATTTCGTGCCAAGTTAATGCTGGAACTTACACCTGGTGATTTCTCTTCCTGTTCATTCCTGAAAAATAAAAACTATTTAAGCACATGTCACTGCCTAGTATATAAAGTCTACTTAAGGACAGGAAAATCCCTACTGTGCTCAAAATTTATTTTCTTCTTTATTTTAATGTTTAAACCCGAGGCTCTTTCAGTCCAGAATATATCATTAAATTTTGGTAAATTCATGAAAAATGCACTAAAACAAGATTTCTGCGGATCTGCACAGGTAAAATTCAATAGGTACAGCAATTCTTAGACTGCAACTGAAGCTGCTATATTTGCCTGTCATCTATGGGCTGAGGATTCTCTCAGGAAAAAAACCACAGGTAGCAGCCACTGATATGGTTGGCTTCTGGGCAGCTTGTTCACTATCCAGAATAGTGCATTTGCAGTAATGGGGCAGTATAGAAATGAATGAAATAAATAAAATAAAAAGCATGGTTGAATACTCAGATATTTAAACCTAGACTTCTATGAATTAAACACTCAAAACTCTGAGCCTTGATGAACACATCTGTCAGTTTATGTTTTTCTCCATATTACATTTTTATCACTCCACCCTGAATACAGAGAAATTTGTAAGAATTCTTATAAAAACAAAGTGAAATGAAAGCTTCCCTATTCACACACTATTTAAAGGTAAAGGTAAAGGTTCCCCTTGACAATTTTTGTCCAGTCGTGTTCGACTCTAGGGGTGGTGCTCAACCCCGTTTTCCAAGCCATAGAGCCAGCGTTTGTCCGAAGACAATCTTCCGTGGTCACATGGCCAGTGCGACTTAGACACGGAACGCTGTTACCTTCCCACAAAGTGGTCCCTATTTATCTACTTGTATTTGCATGCTTTTGAACCGCTAGGTTGGCGGGAGCTGGGACAAGCAACGGGAGCTCACTCCGTCGCGTGGATTCGATCTTACGACTGCTTGGTCTTCTGACCCTGCAGCACAGGCTTCTGCGGTTTAGCCTGCAGCACCACCACATCCCTTACACACTAGTTAACCATATATAAAATAATGGGTGAAATCCTGATGTGCAGGATTTCACCCATTATGGTTTGCATGCACAACAGGAATAGTGTCATCAGCAGCAGAAAATTGCTTTCAATTAAAGGCTTCCTTTGGCAATTTGAGGGTTCATGTGACTCATACGATATGCAAGAAAATCACCAAATAAAGTCTTTAATCAGTGGTAATTTGCCACTGCTGATTACATCATCCCTATTATACATGCAAAGTTGCACAGCAAGATTACAACCAATATATATTTTCTTCCACAAAAGAAAATATGCACCTTCATAGTTTTAAAATAAAGTAACAAATTTCAGAAACCTCAAAATCAGGAAGTAGAGCATGAGACACAGAATATTTCTCTTAACATGCTTTATAGGATGGAGAATCTCCAGAAGTCTGGGGGGCTGCACGCACACTCAGGCCCAAAGATTTGGAAGGCTGTACTCACTTCTGTGAAACTTTAGTTTTTTCTTACAAATGTTAAAGGGGAAATAGTTTGGGCAAAAATCCCCCTTGCATCATCTAATGACTAAAAGACTTTTTTTAAAAAAATTGGGTCTCGGAGGGTTCCAAATATGTGTAGAGGGGGTTGCAAAGAAAGTAAAAATGCCCCCATGTCTCCTTTTGACTTTTTCTTAACCTAAAAAGATTGTTAAACATTAGACTGTTAGGGGTGTGCAGAAGTGCTAGGAAGCAACATATGGCCCAACTCTGCTCTGTAGACTTAGGTTACAAATAACAGAAAAATGAAGCATGCACTGTGATAGTAGAATGTGGTCTTATAAGTAAATATTTGCAATACATACTGTATCTTCTCTGGCAGCCCTGAATGCCTCTGTTGAAGGGGTTTAGCTTGAATTGTCATGACACCATTTAAATTGCTACGCAAACTGCTGGGAAAACGATGAATCTAAGAGAGCAACAGAATTCAGCACATTAATTCCCACAGGGAAAATTATGAAAATTTTAAGAAAAAAATGAGAGGCTTACAAAAATATGTAGAAGATGCTGAAATATTTTGCCCCTACATATTGATTTATTTATTCAGTAATTTGCATAGCTGCCCTAGAGGTTCTCTACTCAAGTTGTAAGTCATATAAAATAATTAATATCCAGTCATTGAAATTCTGTTCACATAAGTTCCCTAGGGCAAGCAAGGCTCATGACATCAGCAGATAATTCTTGGAAATTTTTTGGAAATTAAACACATTCTCCTCTCATCCCCGTGCTCTCTCAGGTCCCTAGTGATCCCTTTCATTGTTGGGAACCAAGAGAAGGGCTGCAGAACAGCAGGGAGAAGTCTTCAACTACTGAAAATAAAAAAAAAAATTTAAAAATGCCCTGCTGCAGGATTTAAACAAACAGTATTTCAGGCAATGTAACATAGGAATGGGCGAGCTCTACTGCCTCAAAGGATTTATGTGGTGTTGGATGGTCAATTGGGATCCATAAACACGCATATACGCACATGTTACTCCAAATCACTGGGATGGGAAGGAACTTTTAACCTTGCCCCATATCTAAAGAATCGTACCTTATCCCAAGATTTTGCTATTAAGAAATTTCTCTACTCCAGATGATGAGATGTGATTGACCAATTTTTAAATATCAGCTTTAGACAACTTGACTATACAGTACTATAATTTGTTGTTTTCGGGAGAGGCTGTTTCATATCATACAAAATTCACTTTAATATATTTTAACTGTAAAAGGATATGTGTGTGTTTTTGTGTGTGTCTGTGTTTAAGAAAAAGGCATTCAAGTAATAGAATAAATCATCATTATTCAATTGCTTTTCAATACATTTGCTGATGTGTTGAAAACCTTTCTTTCATTCCAGCAGTACTAATGTAAATCAATGGTGCAGGGGCTTTTATCTCACTCTCTCCTTCCAGTGAAAGGGAGCAGGATTACTAACATAAGGACATCCCAGAAGGAAATCCTTCCCATACCAGAAATACTGTTCTAGATCCAACGGAGACAAAAGGATTTAATATCCTCCTGCAGGATAGTCTACTGGAAAAGAAGACACACATGGATGTGTCTCCTCATATGCCAATTCTTCCAGCATTTTTGTTCTGTAGGGAAGCAAAGGTGCATAAGGAGATTTGTCCTCATGCATGCCTGATTTCCTAGCATTGTCAAGCTTCCCCTAGGTTTCAAATCACTATTTGGTGAGCTGGAGGGGACCAATCTGTTGGAAACCAGTTCACATCATACACCCTGTGTGGCACAGCAATGGCAGCAGGGCAAAAGACAAAAAACCCACAGCAACCTGCACAGCCACAATTATCAATCCCTATGTAAAAGTAAGAACACAAACAAGAAGCTAAATTCAAAACGCATACTTCTTTAAAAACAAAGAGACCCCACCTTCAAAGCAGAAGGTATTTAAAGACCCCATATAAACAGAAGAGTCTTTAGACTACAGAGATCATGCCAGACAAACCTAATGTATCTCAGACGCTGGGTAATACTACAGTCGGTCTCTACCAAGAGGATAGTTTTTACTGTTCTTAGTTTCCTTTAAAAAATGAGGCAGTTGGTTTACCACTATGTAAAAGCCCTATCCACAGATTTAAAGAAGTTGGAATGTAAATAGGAACTGATACCTACTTCCGTCTATTTCCACTTTTGTACATTATGATTCTGGTGCTGATTATTATATACAATGTAGTCTTTAAACATGTGACAGGAAATGTCAGATGTCTGAGCTGGATTCAAAAAAAGGAAGAGGTGCTACATATCATTTTGCAAATATACACTGACTACCAGAGATAAGCAAAGGATTTCAGAAAACTAGCCTATGCTTTATAGTTTACAGAAGATGCCTCTGACTGTGCACATCATGAAAAGCTATAATTCATTCTAAATGAAACAGGTGTGCCACAACCCTTGATTGCCCCATTGAGAAGAAACTATTGTCAAGACAGCATATGGAGAAACAAAATGGTTTCTCACTGGCACAGCTGACAGGCAAGGGTGTCTATAGGTAGATGACACATATCACTGGCAGAAAGCAGCAATATTTTGAAATGATTAAAGATGAAGGTTAAAGAAGTGCAAAAGCAGAATTACAGATTAACATTAAGAACAGAAAATGCATGACTACAGAAAGATTATATAACTTTAATGTTAACCGTGAAGAAATCAAGCAATTTAAAGACGTCTCGTACCATATTTGAATCATCAATCCATGTGGAGACTGCAGCCAAGAAATTAAGAGACTGAGATTTGGAAGGGCAACTATGAAGGAATTATAAAACATCTTAAGGGTAATGATGTGTCACTGGGAACCAAGGCCAAAAGCATTCATATTACACTATTTCCTATTACTATGTACAAATGTGAAAGCTGAAGAAAGCAGAAAGCTGAAAGAGTAAAAATGGATTCATTCAAAATATGATGTGGGAATGGAACTATGGTGTTGGAGGAATGATTTAGAGATGCCATGGACTGCCAGAAAGACTTATAAATAAGTTCTAGATCAGAGGTTTTAAACTCAATTTACCTGGGGGCCGCTAGAGGCAGAGGCTGGGTGAGGCTGGGCCGCATCAGATTTTCCGCCAAGCGGAGCAAGAGCCCAAGGAAGCTGCCCAGGAGTTTCCTTAGCCGACAGACAGGTGGGCCAGCTGGCAGGCTGCAGTTCCAGATGGAGGGGACAAGAGGTGCTGTCTTGGGAGAGAGCCGGCGAGTGAGGCAAGGCTTTTTTTTAACTCTTGACAGCAGAGGATGTATGGGCGCTTTGGGGGGGCAGGCAAGGCGAGGGCCACAAACTATCATCTGGGGGGCCGCAAATGGCCCCCGGGCTGCATGTTTGAGACCCCTGTTCTAGATTAAATCAATCCTGAATTCTCTCTAAAAGTAAAACCCATTAAACAGAGGCTATCAACCTTCAGGAATATCACAAGAAGACAAGACTCACTGGAAAAGACAATAATGCTAGGAAAAGTGAAAGTTAGCAAGAATAGAGGAAGACCAAACGTAAGATGGATTGACTCCATAAAGGAAGCCATGAACTTGAGTTTGTCAAACCTGAGCATATATGTTACTGATAGGCTTTTTGGGAATCACTAAATCACAGCTCTGCTGTTAACTTGAAAGTGACATGACAGCATGTATCAATAAAAACCCTTGAAGTAATTAATAATTAATAATCATTAATTATAATTTTACCTATAATTATTGTGGCTTTACTTAACTGAAACAGTTCTAAGGTGCACAGATCCAATGGACATGTTCAAATGAAACTGGAACAGCAACAACAGTAAGAAATTTCACAGTAATTTACATTTCACTAAAAGTGTAACAACATTACCAGCAGAAATGGTTTTAAATAACCTTGAACACAGGGTTCAGATATAAGTAATTATATTTCTTACTACAATTAGGAAAAAAGACATGTGCATAGAGGAGGATGTTCCATCAAACATCAATGCATGTAACTATTTTTGTCCTAGAAATGACTATCAAACCAAATTATGTGAATTATTCTGATTACATTAATTTTTCCCATGCCAACAGCAACCAGCCCAGCCTTAACAGACTGTAGAAACCCCCAATGGCAAGTGAACTGATTCATGAAAAGAACTGCCCAAGCCTCATTATGGTGGCAATCATATTATGGAGGTCACGTTTCAACTGGGCCTTGAGGACTGGTGCTTTATGAGAAGTATGTTGAGAAGAGACAACTTGCAAAGAGTAGAAGCATCTTGAAAAAAAAAGAAGTTAATGAAAATCCCCACTATTCTCAGAGATTTGCCAGTGGGGGAAAAATTATTTAAAAATAAATTTAAATAAGGTTTGATCGAGAAGTGAATGCAAAGCAATTTCCATACATAAGAAAGAGCTCCTTTTGATATCTATGTAGGCTTTTGACTGATTCCATGTATTTTAACAAACTATAGATGTCAACGTAATTTCATTTCTGAACACATTCAAATCTGCCAAATTTAGTTAAGCATAGAACATTGCAACCTTTAACAATTCTGGAAAACATCAAGCAGAATGAGAATTTCTTTGTCTTCTATGGATGAAATCAGATTCATAGTCCCAATTACAGAACGCCACAGTAATTAGACTTATGCAAGTGTTGTGTGCTGTTAATTTGAGAAGCTGGGTTTTATATGCCACTATTGATAGGAAGTCAGAATTTATTTTACCTGGAATGGGACAAAATGCAAGCCAAGAGACACGCCTCGAGCCTCCGACCCTCTTGATGGGGGCACACTTGGTGTATCCACTGCAACACGAGAAACTGGCAGATGGGGTAACCTATTTCCAGGAGCTTTCATTTTCTCCATTTGCTTGTAAGGCTCATCTAGACCATTGTTAAAAACAATCCCAAAATAAATGAAGCATACAAAAATATGTTTATTTTACTTATGAAAACTGGTGATGATGTGTAGAGTTTATACAAATCTAGTGCAAAGCTAATGCTGGCTCCTTGAAAATAATTGTTTGCAAACTTGAACCAGACATAGGTGCGCCCCAGATTTTTCCTCCCCTCTCTGGAGCAATGTTATATTTTCTTCCCTTCCTCCTAGCACTGACTATGGCTTTGTCCATGAACAGAAACTGTAGTTAATAGAAAGTATCTAAAATGCTGTTGCAAATCCTGTATGCATTTCTAAACCACATAAATTGCACTGGAATAAGCCCACTGAATCATTGGAGATTTGTGAGTCATCTCGTCAGTAAATTCCATTGATTCCTGCTCTAGTGGAATTTAATATGCTAAACAATGCTTCTGGCCATAGTGATTATATGTGCACTGGACCACAAACATTGATACAGAAACCATACCCAATTTTGGCTTTCTAATTGACTAAGGATACACCATAGCATAGAGGATTTATGGTAAAACCACGGTATCTATGGTGGATCAGTTCCAAGCCCCTGCAGATGCCAGAAATTGTGGATAATAGCAAATTCTCTATACAGTGGTGCCTCGTATAACGAGTGCCCCGTTTAACGACAAATCCGCATACCGATGCGGATTTTGCGATC